TATCTGTTCTTGATTTAATTTTGGTAAGTGAAATCTATCCAGAAAATTGTCCATTTCTTTTAGATTTTAGAATTTTGAGGAATACAGGTTTTCAAAGTATGACCTGATGATTCTCTGGATTTCCTCTAGGTCTGCTGTTATGTCCCCCTTTTCATTCCTGATTTTATTAATTTGCATGTTCACTCTCTGCCATTTGGTAAGTTTGGATAAAGGTTTGTCTATCCTGTCGATTTTCTTGAAGAACCAACTCTTCCTTATATTGATTCTTTGTATTGTTCTCCTTGTTTCCACTTTATTTATTTCAGCCCTCAATATGATTATTTCCTGGCATCTGCTCCTCTGGGGTGTATTGGCTTCTTTGTGTTCTAGAGCTTTCAGTTGTGCTGTTAATTCTCTACTGTGATTATTCTCCTGTTTGTTCATGTGGGCACTTAGCGCTATGAACTTTCCTCTTAGCTCTGCTTTCAAAGTGCCCCATAGGTTTGGATATGTTGTGTCCGCATTCTCATTGAATTCTAGGAAATCTTTAAATTCTTTATTTATTTCTTCCTGGACCCAGAAATTGTGCAATTGGGTGTTACTTAATTTCCATGAGTTTGCGGGTTTTCTACAATTTGTGTTGTTGTTGAATTCTAACTTTAAAGCATGGTGGTCTGATAAGACACAGGGGGTTATTTCAAGTTTTTTGTACCTGTTGAGGTTTGCTATGTTGCCAAGGATGTGGTCTATTTTAGAGAAGGTTCAATGTGGCACTGAGAAGAAAGTAAATTATTTTGTATTTGGATGGAATATTCTACAGATATCTGTTAAGTCCAATTGCACCATAACTTCTATTAGTTCTTTTGTTTCTTTGTTAAGTTTCTGTCTGGTGTTCCTGTCCAGTGGTGAGAGTGGGGTGTTGAAATCTCCCACTATAAGTGTGTGCAGTTTTATGTGTGATTTGAGTTTTAATAAAGTTTCTTTTACAAACATGGATGCCTTTGTATTTGGGGCATAAATGCTCAGAATTGAGACTTCATCCTGATGGATTTCTCCTGTGATGAGTAGGAAGTGACCTCCTTCATCTCTTTTGATTGATTTTAGTTTAAAGTCCAATTTTTTGGATATTAGGATTGCTACCCCCTTTTGTTTCTTGGGTCCATTTGATAGGAAGATCTTTCCCTAACCTTTAATTCTTAGGTACCATCTGTCTTGGAAGTTGAGGTGTGTTTCTTGTATGCAGCAGAAGATGGAGTCTGTATTCTTATCCATCCTGCTAACCTGTGTCTCTTTATAGGCGAGTTAAGACCATTAACATTGAGGGATAATAATGACCATTGATTGTTCATTCTTCCTTGTTTTGGATTTGGAGGTGGTGGTAAAATTATGTGTGGGTTCCACCCCTTTTTTCTTTTGTCTGTTGATAAAGTGGGATTACCTATTGCCTATATTTTTCTGTTTGTAGTTAACTTCCTTGGGTTGCAGTTTTCCTTCCAGAACTTTCTGTAAAGCTGGACTGGTGGTTATGTATTGTTTGAATCTGGTTTTGTCATGGAATATCTTGTTTTCTCCATCTATATTCATTGAAAGCTTTGCTGGGTATAGTGGTCTTGGGTGGCATCCGTGTTCTCTTAGTGTAGGTAGAATATCTATCCAGGACCTTCTGGCTTTCAGAGTTTCCATGAAAATCAGGTGTAATTCTGATAGGTGTGCCTTTATTTGGTTTTATTGACCTTATTCCTTTTCTGTTCTTAATATTTTCTCTTTATTCTGTATGTTTGGGGTTTTGATTATTATTTGGTGAGGAGAACTTTTTTGTGGTCCAGTTCTGTAGGTATCTTTTACTTTCATTGGCATGTATTTCTTTAGGTTGGGAAAGTTTTCTTCTATGATTTTGTTGAATATGTTTTCTGCGCCTTTGAGTTGGATTTCTTCACCTTGTCCTATACCTATTATTCTTAGGTTGGTCTTTTTACGGTATCCCATATTTCCTGGATATTTTGTGTTATGGATTTGTTGGAATTAAGATTTTCTTTGGTTATGAGTCTACTTCTCCTAGTGTATCTTCAACTCCTGAGATTCTCTCTTCCATCTCTTGTATTCTATTGGTTATGCTTGCATCTGTAGTTCCTGATCATTTACCCAGCTTTTCTATTTCCAGCATTCCCTCAGATTGTGCTTTCTTTATTGTCTCTATTTCAGTTTTTAGGTCTTGAACTGTTTCCTTGAGAGATTTGTTGATATCTTGTATTTTTGATTTGTTTTTTCTTCCATTTCTTTAAGGGGTTTTCTCATGTTCTCTTTGAGGCCTTCTATCATTTTCATGAAGATGTTTTTAAAGTCATTCTCTTCTGCTTCATCTGCATTGTGATGTTCAGGTCTTGCTGGTGTATGATTCCTAGTCTGTAGTGGTGTCATACTGGGTTTTCTGTTGTTGAATGTGCTTTTATATTGTCTTCTTCCCATCCTTTCTTCCGATGGGTGTAGCATGAGTCTCTTCCTCTCTTGGCAGGTATGGCACCAAGGTTCCCTTCTGGTAGATGCAAACAGTTCCAATACTCTGATGTCTGTCCTCTTCTCGTGGATGGAGGCATGACTGTTACCGGGGCCTTGGCAGTCTCTGGGTATGTTGGATCCTGCCACAGATTTCGGATCCTGTGAATAGACCCCTGGCATCAGGTGTCCCCTATAGTGGTTTTTTGTTTTGTTTTGTTTTTATAGAACTTATACTTTTAAGGAGAAATTTGTGAAGGAAAAAATGCAGTATTTGAGAGGAAAATGTGACCAAATAAGGATAAAATCAAAGAAACAACATCTTGAGGGCTGAGATTTGTTTACCTGTTTGGGAGATTCCAGTTATTATGAATTATGTCCATCTCCCTCCCCTATGCTACTCTTCCAGTGTTTTTACAAATGATTTCAAACCTAAGACACTAGCTTCTTGGGTAGCTAACAGCTGCTAGTGCTTTCTGATTACCCACAGTCTGTTTCTTACTTGAAAAACCTGGGGACTAAAGAGGGCTCAGCCAATAAAAGTGGACACTGCTCTTGCAGAAGACAAGAATTCCATTTCCAGAACCCACATTGGGTGGTTCCAAACCACCTGCAACTTCAGCTCCAGGGGAATCCTGCATCCTTGTTTCCAGGGATGATTATAGTCATGTGTACACACACACACACACACACACACACACACACACACACTTGAAAATCTTTTTTTAAAAAGGCTCTTCAATCAGTGTCATTTTTCTGTATTTCCATTTTTGTTGAAACCAAGCAAAAATTTGATAATCAAAATCAGAATATATAAAAGGCAGTGGTTTCTTCCTCTTTTGAACACCCGATTTAACGGCTACTACATTGCTTGAAAACCATGGCCACTATAATAAACAAGGTAAGATCTTGTAAAGGGTTTGTGATTGGAAGTTGGTCCAGAATATTTTTTATATGAGAGAATATGGTTGACTGACTTCAAATGGTGTGATTTGAGATTGGTTGGATTATTCTGCCAGGGTCCATAAAAATGGCTAGCTTCATCTTGGCTTAGTCAGAGAGTTCAAAACTATCCTTTACTCTTCCAAAGTTAAAGTCATAAGACCTAAAGGTCTAAGGTGTGGCTACTATAGGATTTTGGTCTTAGGCGTGGATGTTTAATCTAAATAGCAAGAGATTTGTTCTAAGGTGTGGTTACTTTTAACCCTCAAGGTCAGATAACAAGAGATTTAGTCTACTGAATGCTTGGAAAATTAAGGAAGTAAGTCTATTTGTTCCTTGTATCTTGATAAAGAAGTCTCTTGCTGTTTTTTTTTTCCCCTTTTTGGTTTGGGTATATTAAAATGTTGAAGAATAAACTTGGGGCCTTCACTATTCACTAGATTGCCCTCCGGACTCTAATCTGTGTCTCTATCCTCTCCTTAGTATCTTTACCTGCCATTTTCTTACTCCATACCCCCTCTCTCAGGTATGAACCGGGCAAGTCGACTATATCCGACTAAAGTCCCCACAAAGACAGGTTCCCACAGATGGCCCCTCAACATGGGGCACAAACAAGTTGGGCTCATATAGATTGGTACTACAATGTGGGGCACAAACATACATTATTCATGGATGTGTATTAATCTCACTAATACTTGTCCATTGTAAGTAAGAGGCTCCACTATACTCAACCAAGAAGGAATAAGCTATAGAGTCCTTAGTGCCAGGCTTTGCCACCACATATATGTGAACCAAAGTAAATGGCTACTTGATCTTTAATTGGGTGTCACCCAAGAGATTACCTTGAAGACAAACCAATCAGAAGTTAGCTGGTGGTGGTATGCTTTACAGATCTGGGTGTGCTTTATGGACAAGCACACAGCAATGATGCACAGAGCATAGCAACCACCCTGGGAGGGCCTATGGGCCATAACAACCAGTTGACCAATCAACACAGGGCAAGCCCTCCAAGCCTGGAGGCATGCCAATCCTGAGCCTGTGCATACCCCTAGACACCCCCCTTACACTGCCCTATAAGTCTCTATGCAGCCAATTCGAACTGTCTTTGCTAGCCATCCGCCATGGCGGGTGGACGAGAGACCCCAGCTAACATGGGGTTAGCTCATTAAACAAGCAATAAAGACTCATGCAGTTTGCATCAAGCTTTTGCCTCTGCCTGGTGATTGGGGTGGCCGAGGTCCTGGGCTATAAGATCCTGGAAGCCTGAGCTTTCTGCAGGTCTTACAGAAGCAGAAGTTAAGCTTGTTTTTATTTTGTTCCTTTCTAAAAGCTCATCTAGACAGAGAATAAGAACCTACTAAGGATTAAGCATTTAACTTGATAAATTTGTTTATTAAAGATTTTCAAGACTACAGCCTAAAAATAGGAATTAAATTGATAGTATAAGATAGGTAATAATTTCTATGCGTATTAAGGTTAGTTTTGTGTTTTTCTGCCGGCAACACTATGCATGATATTTTTAGCAGTGATCAGTATCCTGAAGAAACATTCTTGGATGATTCCAACAATCCAAGTCTTGTGTTGTACTAGTATTGTAGCTGGGGTCTGGTTTTACTTTGGATGTAGAAACCCTTCTGTATCTTCTCAAAGACAATGATCTGGGGAGAAAGAAAACTAGTGGTGAGAACAGTCAGGCCTGGTTGGCACAAGATGAAGAAAACACTGAAACTCAAGAACAAAGGTCCATCTAAAAGTTTATGACACCTCAAAGCAAGGTTGAGTAACTCACCTCATTGTCTCCTGGATGAAGCCAGGGACCAGGAAGGTACAGTGTTCTCTGAGGCCCAATGTTCTGATATCTTCCAAGATTGCGTCCATTGATGAATACAAACCCATAATACCAGTTCTGAAAGGAATGGGGGTTTGAGACATAGGAACAGAAATTGAGACCTAAGGCACCGTGGAGTAAGAGCAAGATTTAGGAGCCCAGGAGTACCGAGTATGAAAGCAATTTAGAATGGAAAACATCTAGAGCTTCTTCTCCGCTGTCTGAGAACAAGCAAGAAGAAAATGGGGCCAATTCTGCCCTGGAGATGCTGCTGTGGTCCTGCTGAATGATGTGTGGAGATGCTGCTGTGGCCCTGCCGAATGATATGTGGAAAGGATTCTGTGGTTCCTGCTGAATGATGTGTGGAGATGCTGTGGTCCCTGCTGAATGATGTGTGGAGATGGTGCTATGGTCACTGCTGAGGGAAGTGTATGTGATATATATATATATATATATATAGGTTTTTTGAGACAGGGTTTCTCTGTGTAGCTTTGGAGCCTATCCTGGCACTCGCTCTGGAGACCAGGCTGGACTTGAACTCACAGAGATCTGCTTGTCTCTGCCTCCTGAGTGCTCGGATTAAAGGTGTGTGCCACCAACACCTGGCAGTGTGTTGTATTTTTAAATCAGGGTGTTTTAGATTATTATTTGAAGATGTGTTCCATTTATTTATGCTGGTGAACATTTACTTAATGATTCAAAGATGTGTTGCATTCTTTTATGTTGCATTTGTTTAACTCTGTGAAGCTGTGTTACTTTGCCTGTCTAAAACACCCGATTGGTCTAATAAATAGTTGAATGGCCAATAGCTAGGCAGGAGAGGAATAGGCAGGACTGTCAGGCAGAGAAAATAAGTAGGAGGAGTGAGAAAAGGAGGAGGACAGGGGGATGCCAAGAACTAGCCACCCAGCCACCCAACTAGGCACTGAGTAAGAAAGAAAGAAAAGATATACAGAAATAGAGAAAGGTAAAAGTCCAGAGGCAAAGGTAGACAGAATAATTTAAGAAAAGCTGGCTAGAAATAAGCCAAGCTAAGCACAGGCATTCATAAATAAGAATAAATCTCTGTGCATTTATTTGAGAGCTGGGTGGTAAGCCCCCAAAGAGCAAAGAGAAAAAAAAAAAAAAACAACTATGGCAGGAATTTTTATTTCCAAAATAAGAACAATAAGAAACAGATGCACAGTATTGCTGACAGTGATGAAAGTGGTCTTTTTATTATATTTTTATGTTTATTCATCTTATTTGTATAGGTATGAGTATTCAATCCTAATGTATATATGTGCACTTGGAATGCCTTGTTCTTGATGATGTCATAAGAAGACATCAGACCCCTGGTACTGGAGTTAGACAGTTGTAAGCTCCCATATGAGTGCTAAGAACCAAACCCAGACCCTCTGAAAGAGCAACCAGTGCTCTTACCTGCTAAGTCATCTCTCCAGGCTGAACATAATCTTTTATAATCTACTGGCAATACAAAATATGGTTACAAGAAGAATATTTAGGACAAGAAAATAAAGCAGCAAGGATACTTCTTGGCAATTTTTTCCCATAGAGAAATTTTACTCAGGGAGAGCTGCTGAGAACCTAAGTCGAGCCTTTCTTAGCTCACAAAGGGTAAAAACATGGGTATCAGGGAAGCTCATCAAATGTACTCTCTGAGTTGGGACTTTAAGGGATCTACCCTAGGAAGGGTAAAATAGAAGGTGTTCATTAACCAGAAGCCTTAATATGCTAGCAGCTGCATGACATAGTCACTCTCAGGAGCAAAATTCTATATGATTACAATTTTATGTTCATTGTAAAGCTTTCATAAAAATTGCTAGAAAAACTAAAGACTGGTTTATTAAAATGGGGATAAACAAGATAATCAAAACTTTGTAAATCCAAGAGGCCAATAATGAATGCTCCTGGACTGAGTCTACCAGACATAAGTACATTATTTAATTTAAATGCACATAAAAATACTAAGTGGTCATCCCTTAGATCATATATATACAAGTAACATTATATAGACTGAACTGGTTATGGTCATGTATTTATGAATATATATATATATATATATATATATTCAACAATTAAAAGAAGGCCATGAACTTAAGAGAAAATAAAGGGAGTAGATGAGAGGAGTTGGAAGGAGGAAAGAGAAGGGGGAAATTATATAACTATATAATAATTTTAAAATATTATTTTAAAAAGGCTGAGGCTTACTGTTGGTGTTGACACAGGTGATGGTCCCCTTAAGAAAGGGGGTAGCCACCCAACAATTAGGTGCCTCCTTGGGGTTGGTAATCAAGCTTCAGTGCAGTTGCTAAAACTTTACTGTTTAATAAAGACAACAAAATATGGATTTCAGGGCAGCCATTGGGCAGTCTGGAAACAAAGCTATCACTGGCTTATAAGTGAATAAAGATTACAGTACTACTCTCAGTCAACAACTACTCCCCCTCCCCCATTTTACTTTAAAATCTTGCCAGGAACTTAACCCAGTCACTCTGTTGTCTGTTTCACAAGAGCCTCTAATGTGTGTTTCCTCAGAGCTACTAACGAGCTATATTAAGCAGAAAGTCCAGACTGAGCTCTGGCCAAGTGGGGAAAAAATATAATTTGTAGATGGAGCAATTCTATGATAGTGAGTGTCAAGCTAGTTACACAACAGTCTTATCCCATGGGACTAATGGAGCAAAAAGTCTTTGATAAGAAAGTCTGAGAAATTAATCCTGACTTAGAACTAGAAAAAAGAGATGATCATTAACTTTATTTTGTAGAGTCCAGATTTGCCTTCTCAGGTTTCATGCTCACAGTATAATCTAGAAAGAGAGAATTCTTCTAAACACAAACAGAAAAGAAATTTAATAAAAATAATAGAATCCACAGATTGCTTCAGACAGTAAACCAAAGCTACACAGAGAAACTGTGTCAAGAAAAGAAAGAAGGGAGGGAGGGAGGCAGGGAGGCAGGGAGGGAGGGAAAGCAGTCATATATTGCAGAGAACACAGGAGGGAAGACAGAAACAGTAAAAGAAAACTCCAACTGCACTACAGCTAAGTGTGTGGTCTTGTCCAGATTCTCTGCCAGACTTTGATCCCATTCCTGCCTCCAGACATTTCTATCTTTGTGGACAAAGCCTTCCCCAGGTCAGGCTCAGGAATTGGTAAAGCCTTCCTCTGGTCCAAGGATTAGTGTTTCTGAAGGATTGATCAGTGTGTGCAAAAACTATCAGTCACAGCTTCCAGGATTACTGCAGCCTGACACTCTTCTCCTACACATAACCCCTATCTAGATTAGCTAAGCCTGACTCCTGGTGCAGTGGGGTACCATGAACCCACTCTCTTAGTTACTATTCTATGAAAAGACACCATGGCCAAGGTACCTTATAGAAGAAAGCATTTAATTGGGGGACTTGTATACAGTTTCAGGAGCTTAATCCACAAATACAATGCACAAGAGAATAAAACAGGCAGGCATGGTGCTGAAGCAGTAGTAGTAGAGAGAGGGAACCTTGGTCTGATGTTAGCTTCTGAAACATCAATGACCATCCTTAGTGATTCACCTCCTGCCACAAGGCCACACCTCCTAATCCTTCCTCAACACTTGCATTAACTATGAGCCAATAGAGGCAATCCTCATTCAAGCAATCACATGAACCTGTTTCCAACTATATACAATAAACCCACCTCCTCAACTCAGATATATAAAATAAAGCAGGTTTTCCAGATTGCTGGTTTTGCCAGTGTGTCTTCATCAGATCACATGGCCACCCCACACAAGCCCAACTTTTCTGTCCATTTATCTGTACTTTTTTCATTTCTTCTTCACCTTGGTCAAATTTCCAGAACAAAGCCATGCAGGACATGGCAGTGTACTTCCAAAAGAATAACATTCAACTAAGAACTGGACTCTCATTGGCAAGAGCAGGACAAGCACAGGCATGCTGCCAGGAGAGAACTTCCAAGTAGATTGTAAAGTCATAACAACTACCTCAGGAGAATTTAAATATTTCATGGATTCCTTAGCTTGGGAAGGGGAATAGAAGCTTTCTCTGACAGGACAGGAAAAGCAGGGAGAGTTATTCAAGGATGTTTAAAAGAAATTATCCCAGGTATGAGTTGTACCAGTCTATCCAGAGTAACAATAGTCCACTTTTATTTCAAAGATAGTGGGTGGGATTTCCTAGAAGCTGTTAACACGGTGGACAATGCAGTTTGGACACTCTAGTCCTCTGGCAAACTTTAAAGGGTCAGTCACACTTAAGATCAGCCCAACCAAACTGTCCCAGAAAGCTACTTGTACCCATTGCCCTGACTCACATCAGGGTTGCTATCAAAGAAGCTCAATTTCACCTCTGTGAAATGTTAAATGAATAATACTTCCCGGGAGGTACTAGCTTTATCATACCCATGGATGCATAAATTGTACTGCCAGTAAATCATACAACCCGTCTAGGGCAAGCAATGCCCACCCTTGTTCAGTATACAGACTTAAATGTGTACTTTCATTCAGGGTAAGATTTCACCCCTATCAAGCAGAAGAGTAAGGGTTTCAAAACCTGGGAATCAGGATTCACTTAAGAGTAGTGTAGTTGGTGGTTTGAATAAGAATGGTCCAGTCCACATAGGCTCATAAATTTGAATGCTTCGTCATCAGGAAGTGGTACTATTTGAGAAGAATTAGGAGGTGTGGCCTTGTTGGAGGAAGTGAGTCCCTGGGGATGGGTTTTAAGGTTTCAAAGACCCACACCAGACCCAGAATCTTTCTTCCTGATGTCTGTGGATCTAAAAGTAGAACTCTCAACTACTTCTCAAGCAACATGCTTGCCTGGGTATAGCCATACTCCCCACTGTAATGATAATGAACTAAAATTCTCTAACTGTAAGCCAGCCCCAATTAAATGCTTTCTTTTATAAAAGTTGCTATGGTATCTCTTTGAAGCAATAGAAAAATGACTAAGACAAGTAGATTCCAAACTCTAAAGAAAGTACCTAATAATATGGCTGGGCCATTTCTGCTAAATAGAGAAGGATAAATTCCTTGGCCAAACTGGTGTTCAGTAACCAAATCACCTTAGACCATATTATGGCTAAGCAAGGGCAGATACATTCTATCACAACTGTCTCTTCTGTTTTCATTCCCATATTCTCTAAAGTTAAATTTTATTTTTAAAAGATAAGAAAACATGCATCCTGGCTTTTAGAAATCTCCCCAAAAGCACCAGAACAAATGACATTGTCTGGGTTTTTCTGGCAATTTCAGTTGGGAAGCCTATACATATTTGTATAGTAAACATTTTTAAAGAAACCACATTCATGAGAAAGATTTATGACATAAGCCACAGAGATAGTGTTTATTTTGAAGAAGAAGCAAGCAGAAATCTTGGCATCAAAGAATTTAAAAATGTAAATAAGAAACACAGTTGAAAGCCTCAACAACAGATCAAACAGAAGAACTTCTGAACTTCAACACTAGTCTGCTTTAATTATGTCGGTAAAGGGAAAAAAAGAGGAAGGGCAAAAAGGGGTAGGGAAGGAGAAAAAGGAAGGAGGAGACAGAGAGCCTGTGAAAATTATGAAATGACAGTAAGCAAATAAATATTCACATCACAAACACCACAGTAGAAATGAAGAGAAGTGGTATAGAAACAAACTTGGTAAAATTTTCCCAAATGTTGGGAAACACCCAAACATTAAAGAAATTCAAACAACCTCAATTACATTCTACCAACAAAGGTTTTCTCTGAATCATATTATTATCAAGCCAACAAAACTTCAAAGAGAATTCAACAGCAGTAAGAGAAAAGCATCAGGCTGCACAGAAGGGAATCTTCGATAGAAGAGCCATACATTTCTCAGAAGAAAGCTTACATGCAGAAGTGAGTACGACGGTATGTTCAAAGTCCAGAAAGAGAAACTATACCAAACAAGAATACGATACCTAGAAAAATGTGTCCTTCAGAAATGAAAGAGGAGTAAATCCTCCTTAAAACAATTGGACACTAAGGGATTACGTCAGTCACAAGAAATGTTTAATGGAGTTCTACATCTAAAAGCAAAAATATGACTACTAAAATCAGAAAAGCAATTAAAATGTTCGATTCCCAGATACAGTAAATGTATAGAAGAAAAAGATGATTGACTCAACCCTAATGTAAAAAAAAAAAAGCACTGGTCAGGTGTGGCAGGTCATGTCTATCTTCTATCTTCTCAGCTACCAGAAGGCCAAGCCAGGTACATTGCCACAAATTCAAGCCAGTGGGAAAGAAACAACAAACAGTAGATAAAAGATGAAATATTTTTAAAACAATACAAATTATCAATAAAACTTTCATTTGCCTTTCTGAAAAGACAAAATTTACAAACCTTTAGTAGACTAACCATGAAGAAATTTTATGTGTTGCATATTTAAGCACATTTGAATATAAATATGTACTCTGGGCAAACACAGGTAAGAAATCAAATGTGATGAGTATGAAGGAGAGTCTGCCATTTGTCCTGTAGGTGTTACAATTGTTTGAGTTTTTCAACTGTATCTTCATATACCTTATAAATAATGGTAAGTTAGGATGACTGAGAAAGATCATACAGTTTTATTGGAAGTAAGGAAAAGGCTAGGAACAAAAGCAAGGGGCTGGAGAGATGGTTCAGTGGTTAAGAGCACTGGTTGTTCTTCTAGAGGTCCTGAGTTCAATTCCCAACATCCATATGGTGGCTCACAACCATCTGTAATGAGATCTGATGCCCTCTTCTGGCCTGGGTACATGCAGACAGAACACTGTATACATAATAAATAAATAAATCTTTTAAAAAATGTAAATATTCCTCCAGGTATATCATGGCCTTGCTTAGGTTTCATTTGCTTTAGTTTTTGCATATTTTTATTTTCAAATATATTAGTTCTTTGAGAAATATATATATATATATATATATATATATATATATATATATCTTTCTACTAAACTTTGAGTTGTTTTCCCCCCATCAAGGCTGATTTGTGTTTCCCAAATATTCTTGGATGTGTCCATCATTCACTGGATCATGGTGGAATCATCAACAACTCCCACCAGCTAAGAATTGCCAATAACTCCTCAGCTAAGGGTGGAACTTTATGCCCAACACCCCTCTCCATTCCAGGATTTGTTCTTGCTTAGGTTTGCACAGGTCTTGTGCATGCTATCACAGCCCCTGTGAGTTCACATGTCTATCTGCTCCACTGTATCCAGAGGCACTGTTTCCTTGTAGTCATTCATGCTCTTGCATTCTTCCTGTGTCCTTTTTGGCAATGTCCTAGAGTCTTTAAAATGATATATGTGGGACTAGCGACATGGCTGAGTAGTTAAGAACGCATACTGCTTTTATAGAAGACCTGAATTCAGTTACCAGCACCTATGTTAGGCAGTTCACAGCTGCATATAACTCCAGTTCCAGGGGATCTGACTCCCTCTCCTGGCCTCCAGGAGAGGCAATGCACATCCATGCATACACAAACAGACATATATACATACACTTAATTTTTAAAAGAAAATACATCTTAAAAGAAAGTGCATGATTAGAACATCAGAGAAGAAGAGGAGGCTTACTTACTGATAGATCCAGGAAGGTATCCTTGGGAGAAGAATCAGCCTTCAAGGTCCCCAAATAGAATGCAGGACCTAGATAATTCTCTGGGGCAAGCCTCCAGGTGGCAGAGCGGAGCCTGGAGGAGGGATCAAAATGCTAAAGAGAACTCTTCCCAGCTCTCCTTCCAATCCTGACCCAGCCTTCTCCCACAGAGACCAGGATTTCATCTGCATTTCAAACTGGAAGTACTGGAGGAGCCATTGGAACACCTATTGTGTTCTAGTCTGAATGGAGCATCTGATAACTTCAGAAGAAAAAGTCATGACCTCTCAGATCCACAGGATGCATTGGGAGTAGGAAGGAGCATACCTCTCGAAGAAACTCATCTTCATGTCCAATGAATAGATGGTGAAATTCTTCAGCAAAGTGCCATTGATGCTAATATCACCATTTAATCCTGTGGATGGGAAGCAGAGAAGAGACTAGCAACAGGGGCTGGATATTCTCCAAGGTTTGGCACAGAGAAATCAAGACTATGGATGCTTTTTGTTGAGGAATACAGCCATGAGAATAAATACTGCACCATCCTATTGTCACTTAAAATGTCTTATCGTGTGCTTCCACACTACTGAAAACATTTCCTACTTAATATAGGGACTTTTCATAAAAGAAGACTGAGTGAGTCTTGATCTAAGATGGGCCAGAATCCAAAATAATTGCTCTGCTTTCCTGCCACAGATAACAACAAAAGGCAGGACAAAGAAGGGGGCATGAAGTAACATCACCACTCCTAGGACTGAAGTAGCCCACTTCTCAGAAGACCATTTCTGTCTTCACAACCCCCAAGCAGCCACAGCTATATGTTCCAGATAAGTGAAGAGAAGCTACACTTGTTTCTCAGCACCAAAGCCTACCTTTCCACTCATTTTGAATTTTCCATGAATAATTTATCCGGCCTTGATTCTCAACCAGGATCCTCAGAAGTTGACAATCCTGCTTAAGCAAACAAGTTAGGAGAAAACTAAATAGCCAAATAGAGCTCATATTCTAGAACATATTCTTTTTTCTAATTCATCCCACCCCCTCCCCTTCTCTCTTCTCTCTTCTCTTCTCTCTCTCTCTCTCTCTCTCTCTCTCTCTCTCTCTCTCTCTCTCTCTTGTGTGTGTGGCCCACTGGGCTCCTACCCCATACTCAATCTGCTCTTTCTTTATTGCTGTTCCCATAAGGACAGGTTGAAAGAATCTTTCAATCTGCTTTTGATAAGTGACCCAAACAGGAGCTGAAGGTTGAATCAGGCCCAAGAAGAACTTCTATTCTTGCAAAATAATCCATAATATAGGTCCGAAGACCACCAAAGCTTAAAAGATGCCCTGAGATTACAGCCCTACGCATTTCCTGCTACAGTCCTTTGTGAGAAGCCCAATGGACAAAGGTGGTAGTCAAGCCCCAGAACCAGGCTACCTTTGAATGGGCAGTCAAGAGTATTACCTGGACTGTGGGATCATGTACCTGAATTGTAGGAATAGTCAGGTCATAAGTATATTCGTCCAGATTGCCTATAGTTGTGTCATTCAAAAACACCTATGAAAGAAGAGTTGGCATCATATTGATTGACAGACCTATCTGAAGGGCAGAGCTTTAGATAGAAAATGGTCATGAGGAAGAGAAAGAAAGGTAGTGACTTTAGTGCTCAGATGACCAGAAGCTGAACAGGACTTCCCAGTAGACTGTGATTTATATCAAAACAAACTATAAAAGTCTATTTGATTTGGCTCCAAGTTTCCTATTATTCCAACATACTGGTAAAATAAATATTAGCAAATAGTGAAATGAGTCTGTAACTACACTCCTCAAAGGCAGATGTAGGCTACATGCCACCAGAGATACCTGCTGCTGCCTACCTGTGCTGAATCACTAACTGAAGCATAGAGATCACCGCCAGCACAGATGGAAGTCTCATAGAGGACAAATCCAAATGGCTGGCCACTGCCGTTGTTTATTGGAAGATTCTCCATGGTGACTGGAGTGTATAACATGACAGGCTAGAATGGAAACAGGGCAGAAACAGAAGACAAAATGAAGAGAAGCCATGATCCTTCTCTTAAGACTCTTGTCACTGTTTGTTGGACCACACAATGGTCCTCAAGGATTTCTTGAAAACAATCACATAATAGATGTTATGACAATGCTTCAATAATATATTCACTGTTCAAGAAAGTTGGAATGATAGTGCATTGTGAAGACTGCATAAACACTGTAATCACAAAAATGAATCAAAAGAATAAGCAAATGTATTGCAAAATAACTGAAGATGAGAGAAACAGTTTCAACTCAGCAAACATTGGCTATATAGACCATTTATTGGTCTCTGTCTCTTGTCTAAAATAACAACAGTAAAGGTGAAGCCAGTAAAAATTCAAGAATTTGGTTTCTACAGATAAGACAGGCTTCTCATTTAGAGGGAGAGAAAACACATAGAATTAAACAACAACAACAACAAAAACTACAGTCTAACTAATGGGTAATGAAGAAGATTGCTTCCATGGATGCATAGCTAAGAGATTTTGCATTTGTGGATCCTGTAATAGCATTCACCAAGTGGTCATCTAAGCTTGAAGTAGGATCTGCTATAAGGTAGGATACCCTGCTATGCCCATTTTCTCAAGCAAATTCTTCAAGTTCTTTAACATCTTCTCCAAAGGAACAACAATCCCTGACCAATAATGCCATGAAGTAATTTTTAAACTCCCCCACAAAGAAGTTCCTTAATGGACTATCTCCTCTAGTGGACTATCTCCACATCCTTTCGCCCTATTTTCCATGGTCTCACCCTCCAACCCTGCCCCTGCTAGCGCCAAAGCAGTTCTCACCTTATTTAGGTATGGTAGGATATCAAACAATGGCAAGTAGAATGCTAGACCCACAGTAGGGTACACGGTCTTGGGAATAAGTTGAGGCAACCGAGGCAGGAAACCTACTGTAATGAGAATGGGTCACAGGACTAAGTGGCTAAAATGAATGTTCCTTTCTCTAAACATTCCCATGACTATCTGTGACCTGTGACCTCTGTATCCAGAAACAGAAGAAAAATGAACTTTATACTAGGACATGCTTCTCTAAGGGAGATAATTGGAGCCACTTTGCATTTTGAAATCTGATAGAGACACATATCTAGGAAACATTAATTACTGGTAGACACATACACCTAGTAAACACATGTACCTGGTGTAACTGGAGACATAGAGAAAGAGGACCAGTAGAAAGTTCTTTGTTACATCTTTTGCAGTACTGGCTTTACTTCTGCTCTAACCCTCACTGGACAGCTAATTGGATACATTTCGTTAAAGTCAAAATTGTGAGTTTCCTTTCTGCATCTGTGGTTACTAAGCCACACATAATATTAAGCTTTACAAATAGGAAATTACTCCTAATTTATAGGAATCCAGTTTCATTGTTTTCATATTTCAGTAAAGAAGGTTAAAGGTTTGGAAGTGCTCATGCAGCCCTAAGTGGGAACTTGGAAGTTGAAGTAAGATTGCCCTTACTCATTAGAGCTCATAAGCTTCTACTCCCCACCCCCAAACACACACACAAAGATTTCTTTTTCTCGATCCTCCACAAACTACAGACAGCCCAAGAGAGCACCATCCCCTACTAAGTACCTGAAGCAGAAGCAAAAAGTTTCCGAAGCTTGAAATACTTTTCTGTGTAATCTCCAGCCTCAGTCAGTACAGCATCATAGTCTACAAAACAGAGGACCATGTTTGGGCCATACAGTCCTCCACAGCAGGCCCTGCTTCAGCTTGGGGACATGTGGCAACCCAGATCCATCAAAGTTGGGATAGATGGAATACACACCCTCTGTTTCCGTCACGCTCTATGTGGCTAAGATGTGGGTGTGAAATGACAACCTGGAAACATTCCCCAAATCCTATCTGGAAACATGGGGCTCACCCTGCTCTTTTACTTCCTCACAGACATTCTTGTCTCTTCTACCTGGTGTCCTAGTCCCACCCAGCTAGGTCTGAGAACAGTGCACAAAAGTGAAAAGCACATTAAGTACCCAGGATCCTACCTGCTAGAATGGCAGCTGGCTGAGCAGCATACAAATCAAAGAATAAAGGAAAGCAGACAAAAGGCCTCAGTGCTCAGCACAAACCACATGTTGAAATCTCATGATCCAAGAACATGGTTGTGGAGTCTCCTCCCCAAAGCTGTAGGACCACCCATCCTAGAGAAGTGACCCCACTATCATCACTTACCATAGCTAGTCACAACACTTGAGTGCTTATCGTAATGGAAGGCTCCATTTATGAAACCAAAGTTGGTTCCACCATGGAACATATACATATTGAAGGAGATTCCATATTTGATAAATCTAGACACAGTATATCGAATTTCTGTTGAGGGGGGTGAAAACAGAAGAGATACGGAGACCTTAGATAAAAACTGTCATTTCCAATTCCATTCACCACAACCAATCATTCGTTTTTATTTTATTTTTTTACTAACAAGTGGGTGGAACCATCCAGAACAACTCTTGAAGAACAAGTTCTGGCACTTGCAGCACTTTATTTTTTTTAATTTCCCCCCCTGCACTATAGCTTTGGTGCAAATTGCATCCAAACTGCACGTACTAAGTGATAGTATAAAACTCTTGTCTTACAAATATCTATATTTAAAAAATATTTACACATAACTAGTATGCTTTCATTCCTTACTTCCCAGAATAATGTCTCTAGAGGTGTTGAGTTAAAAACATCACATCATTGTACTATGCTTATGGCTATTTATAGTTTTGGCCACAAAAACTTCCACTTTGCCAGCATGTTTCACAGTGGGTTCCTCTTCCCTCTGGCTGCCATGAGAATCGGGAAGATGTCAATTTAGCATGGGCCTTGGCTCTGACTGTGCTCTTCACTGTTTGTTTACTAGACCACACATGGCTCACTTGCTCTCTGTCTTTGTCTCTCTGTCTCTGTCTCTGTCTCTGTCTCTCTCTCTCCTGGATTCTGCCTGGCTACCAACCAAATGAAGTCTTTAATTCCCACACCATCACAGGAATTATGAGCAAATGAATTGATGAAAAACTATGTGTAGCAATCATGACATCGGTGCCCCAGACACCAGTGATCACATGTCTGTTGCTTGGTGACATGATGGCTGGAGATGGGGGCCAGGTTTGTGGCAATGCTGGTGTTATTTTTACATGATCTTTCATGGTTATGGTAGTCATGTTTTCCTTGTCTTGGGTTTTCCTTTCAGTTTTGTTGTCTGAAGCTAGCTATTGTCTGTTTCTCAGTCACCAATCCTTAGGTAATTCTCCCACTCCAGTACAACTGAGCTTTTCATACAGCAATAATAAAATAACTCTGTGGTAACACACTTTTGCTATATAAATGGTAGTTGCCAGGCATTTTTCTGAGTGGCAGCATTAAATCTTTTCAAAAATCCTAGATTCTCCTCCCCTCGTTCTTTGCTTTTGAAAAAAAAAAAAAAAAGGACTTTTCCATCTTATTTGATTGAGATGTAGTCTTTGTATGTCTTTAAGGGTGACTTAACATAGTTTGCTATATGTGTACAAAGCACAATAATTAAACCAGGATTAGAAATGTACCTGTATCATTAATCACAGGTCATTTTATGCTGGGTCTTTTATGGCCATCTTCTTTAGTCATTGTAAATCTTTCACAGATTGTTTTAACAAGCAGTTGCCGCACTAATGTCTCCTTTCTGATGCATTCTGGAGTCCCTTGCTCAGCTTCCTCCTCTAGTCTCTCTCCATCCTTTTCACTATCTAATTGCTACTAATCCACTCCACTCTTCGTTGAGATCAACTTTTTTTTTTTAATTTCCACAAATGTAGGAGAAATTATACTTGTCATTCTTTAACTGGGTAGCCTCACTTAACACAGACAATTCCAGTTCCATCCCTACTGCTGCAGATGGCAGGATTTCCTTCCTTTATGACTGAATAATGCTCCATTGTGCATATTTATCACATTCTTTTTTTCTGTGTAATATACAGGTATTCCTTTTTCTATTTTTTTTATTTCATTTTACATTCCCCTCCCACCCTCTTACCTCCACCGAGCCCACCCCCAGTCCACTCCTCCTCACAGGTAAGGGCTCCCATGTGGAGTCAACATAGTCTGGCACAATAGGTTGGAGCTGGGCCAGGCCCCTCTCCCATTCATTAAGGTTGAGCATGGCATCCCACCATAGGGAGTGGGCTCCAACAAGCTAGCTTGTGTACTGGGATTATCTTGTTTACCACATCCTTTTGATCAATTCAAAGTTAAATAACCTCCATGGGGGCAGGGGTGACTGAAGTGAAAGAAATCTGCCTCAAATCACAAAGCTACTGCTGAAGTGCTGGGATTAAAGTCCCGCTCTTGGGCTCCAGGATCCAAGTTCTCAACTTCCACTGCTTCTGGGTCCCTAGTAATCATTACCACTTTGTTGATGATACCGAAGAATCATCTTTCCTAGAGATGAATAAGACACCATGCAAATGGTCCAGCACCTTTTTTAGCACACTTTCATGTCCACCTTTCCTAACTGAAGAGAACCATTCCCTGCCCCAGTTCTCTCATTGTGCCTGTTTCATTGCAGCGAGCAGCCTGAGAAATATGGGCTATACAGTAATGTCTTAATTTCTAACATTCTGCAGGTTTGACTCAATTGTAAGATTCCTGTGGGGGTATCATACAATTTGTCCTCACAAGGTCATCTCCAGAACATGGACAGTGCCTGAAACTAGCAAAGATTAGATGGATATTTGTGTCTGCCCATGCAAGTCAATAAACAGAGAGCTGTGTGAAAAACCCATGGCATAGGGCCTTCCTGACTCAGAGTCAAAAACTATGATTCACTTACCTTCTGCACTTTTAACATTGTGTTCCCTCCCCCATGTGTCAAACCAGCCAGTCCAGTATTCCATAACCATAATGGGTTTATCATTCTAGAAAGAAAGCAAATCAAATGGTAAGTATAACACAGGAAAATAAAGCAGAACAATATGAGAGAGAATACCTGCAAGGTTTTCCACCTTCCCCCCAATGCAGACGTTTTCCTATTTGATACAAACTCATTTTAAGATTTATTTATTTTATGCGTACTGTGCTCTGTCTCCATATATACCGGCATGCCAGAAGAGGGCATCTGGTCCTATTATAGATGGCTGGGAGCCACCATATTATTG